CAGTTATCCTTGGTAAAGAAATTGAAGTCAAGACCAGTCTTCAGTGAGAGGGCTACTGGGACCAGCATGGCGGATCAGCGAAGCCAGACCATGAAACAGCTTACTGCCCTGGTAGAAATGGGGCTTGGTGAAGCAAACCTGGGCAATGAAACATGGAAGGTAAAAATATATAGATACACCTCAGATGTCCACAAACTATATACAACCAATAAAACATGGAAACCAATTGCTGGTTTACCTTTTTGATCTTGTTAAGCTTGCAGGGCCATTTTTTCTCACACTCATTCATAATTTAAACTTTTTTGTTGGTAGTGCAGTTTCTGTTATCACATATAGTGTTGACATTGGCATGGATTTTGTATGTTCAGGGTATTTATTAGTTGGTTACTACATGATCTGGACACACCACTCACAAGCTCTTGTTTAATTTTAGAAGTCCTGCATTATTTTGAATAATAAGAATATATAAAGGATGGCATTTATAAGCTCTTGCTTAATTTTAGAAGTCCTGCATAATTTGAAATACTAATAAAACATAAATGATAAGTTGTGTGTGATGAATTGTAAAGCACTTCCATTTATACTCAAGCTCAACATTGATTCAGTCAGATATGCATTGTCCAAATATATTTTCTAGCTACCCTTCTATCACTGAACCAGAATACCAGCTTCCAAAAAATCATTTAGTGCATGTTTCATTATTTGCTTTCCTGTTCAGCCATTACATATAAGATCAAGGAACTACTTGCATTAAAAGATGACTCTGTGTTGAGCATATTTTTTATGTAAGATAAGTAATTTATTGCTTCACCATTCTCAAGCAAAGCACAAGCATAGTCTTTCAGTGTATTGTCATGAGCCTGTAGTACCAAGGTTACTCTGTAACTTCCTAACCAAAAGCCCATTAAGTTACTTATGAAAGCCTATGTCTTTCCAGAGGCTGATGGAGTTGGAAGTGCTTGGCTGCTACAGCTGGTCTTTGCAGATCAAGAACTCTCTGTTGTTCAATTTGCCTCTGATGACAATTGCTGGAATGGGCACAGATAGGCACATGGATGTCATGCAGCAGCTGATGAACAGACAGGTAATGGAAGCCAAGAGCATGTGTTTGGAGCAAGATATATCAGATTAGTTTATTGGAATCATGTGTCTGAGGAATTGATGTTCACTTGGTGTGCTGACCTGTCCATGACTACATGCAGTGCAATATCTGTGCAGACTGCTTTTGCTTTAGGATGTTTTGCAGTTCATGGCAACAAATACCCATGCATACAAGTAAGTGCTTGATACCAGCATGCAAAGCAGCTATGGTAATCTGCACTTGAAAATTGTTTTGCCTTTGAGGGACATTTGTTGGCCATCTGCCCCACCTCTGCCCTGTCCGCCAGTCCTGCCCAGACACTGCCGCACTGCCCCCTCCCCTGTCTGCCAGACATCTGTGTGATGATAGCTGGCTACCTCTGATGCCCAGCTCTTCTACCAGTCGCCTCTGAAGACCTGGCCCCCTCCCCTGTCTGCCAGACATCTGTGTGATGCTAGCTGGCTACCTCTGATGCCCAGCTCTTCTACCAGTCGCCTCTGAAGACCTGGCCCCCTCCCCTGTCTGCTAGACATCTGTGTGATGCTAGCTGCCTACCTCTGATGCCCAGCTCTTCTACCAGTCGCCTCTGAAGACCTGGCCCCCTCCCCTGTCTGCTAGACATCTGTGACGCTTCGTTGCCCCACTCTCTGCCAGGTGACGTTCTGTTTCGCGCTAACGGAGCTGTCGCACGGCTCTGACACGCGGCGCATGCGCACCACGGCCACCTTCGAGCCAGCCAGCGGCCAGTTTGTGCTGCACACCCCTGACGCGCGTGCAGCCAAGTGCTGGGTCGGCGGACTCGGTGCGTGGGACAGGGCAGCGGCCAGGGGAACTGTCGGGCGGAATTCCGTCATCACATCTGGTCACGGGCTCTGTGGGGAGGGGGAGGGGGGGGGGCGATGTTGTATGCTGCAATACTGGTAATGGAACGGTGACCGTCATGCAGACGACGTAGAGATTCTGTGGGTTATAAACTTATGTTAACCATTATGCTGTGAGATTTATTTCGCCTATTACCGTGCTGGCCTCGCACGACGGCCGCGCTATCGCCAGTTGTGAACGATTTTGTGCTGACGACGTTTTACATCCATTACAATTCAGTAGTTGGCTTATGATCTATGTATGTTCATTTTCTGATGGTCCTCGTGTTTCCAGACCAGAACAGTCTGCCCTCTGATGGATCTTTCACCCCAAGACCGGATCAGCCAGTCCATTGACGGTCTCACACCCCCAGACCGGATGAACAGGGCCACTGACGGTCTCACACCCCTTACCGGATCAGCCGGTCCACTGACGGCCTGTTACCCCCGGACCGGATCAACAGGTCCACTGACGGTCTCACACCCCCAGACCGGATGAACAGGGCCACTGACGGTCTCACACCCCCGGACCGGATCAGCCGGTCCACTGACGGCCTGTTACCCCCGGACCGGATCAGCAGGTCCACTGACGGTCTCACACCCCCGGACCGGATCAGCCGGTCCACTGACGGCCTGTTACCCCCGGACCGGATCAGCAGGTCCACTGACGGTCTCACACCCCGGACCGGATCAGCCGGTCCACTGACGGCCTGTTACCCCCGGACCGGATCAACAGGTCCACTGACGGTCTCACACCCCCAGACCGGATGAACAGGGCCACTGACGGTCTCACACCCCCGGACCGGATCAGCCGGTCCACTGACGGCCTGTTACCCCCGGACCGGATCAGCAGGTCCACTGACGGTCTCACACCCCCGGACCGGATCAGCCGGTCCACTGACGGCCTGTTACCCCCGGACCGGATCAGCAGGTCCACTGACGGTCTCTCACCCCCCGGACCGGATCAGCAGGTCCACTGACGGTCTCTCACCCCCGGACCGGCTCAACAGGTCCATTGGCGGTCTCACCCCCCCCCCCCCCCCCCCCCCGGACCGGATCAGCCGGTCCACTGACGGTCTCACACCCTCGGACCGGATCAGCCGGTCCACTGACGGTCTTACACCCCCGGACCGGATCAGCCGGTCCATTGACGAGTCTCACCGTTAGACCGGATCAGCCGGTCCACTGACGGTCTCACACCCCCGGACCGGATCAGCAGGTCCACTGACGGTCTCTTGCTGCCGGACCGGATCAGCCGGGCCATTGACAAGTCTCTCACCGTTAGACCGGATCAGCCGGTGCGCTGTTGTGATGGTCCGCTGACGTGCCCGGCGTCGCCAGGCCAGACCAGCTGGAACGCAGTGGTGTTCGCCCAGCTACACACGGCTGACGGAACCTGTCACGGCTTGCACGCGTTCCTGGTGCCCATCCGGGACCCGGTAACGCACCTGGCCTTCCCCGGCATCACCGTCGGCGACATGGGCCACAAGCTTGGCCTCAACGGTCTCGACAACGGGTGAGCGGTGCCATGGTGGCTGGCGGACTGCTGCGACTGGCACGGGGCCATGCTGACGGGTGCGGGACTTGCCCAGTTTTAGCTTTGTGACTTGGACCTCCAGATATCCGTCGATTTTATATACATCCTCCAATGGGCCGCGTTCGAAGTCTGTTGGAAACTGGCATGCACTGGTGCTGCATTAACAACAGCTTCTTTGCGTGCTTACTGACGAAAATTTTGCTAATGTTTTGTGGGTTCCTTTCAGTTTTGTCATGTTTGACCACTACCGGATACCGCGTGAAGCTTTGCTCAACAAGAATGGTGACGTCACAGAAGACGGGGAGTACGTGTCTCCAATAAAAGACAGCAATGTTCGGTTTGGTAGGTGGAGCTGTAGCTTGTACCAGGGAGCCACATTTGGCTAGAAATTTTGTTCGGATGGGGCGCCCTATATTGGTAGATATATGCTGCTAGTCATTATCTGGATTGCGCAGGAACAAAATTAGTAAGCCTTAGTGAAACGTTAAAACCTCCTAAACGGTCTGTCGCTGACTCCGCCCGCGTTGCCTGGTCGGGCGCTTTCTCCGCGATGTAGACATCGATGGAGCGCCCGCCATCTACCGCGTGGTTGCGGAGTCGGTAACAGTGGCTGTTGACACAGGCAGACGTCATGAACGATGTGGACATCGTAAGGCAGTGGTGCCGAGTGATGCTGGGTCTTAATTAATGACAAACTAAAGGTAAAACGATCATCTTGTGTTCGTGCTGTCCATTGACTTTTCAAACAGGTGGCCATCGGCAACGCTGCCTCGCCAGCAGGGGCAGCCTCCGTCAGCCGACGGGTTGCCGTTCCGCTGCCGGTCGTGCCCCGTCCCGCTGGTGACCGTGCCCCGTCCCGCTGGTGACCTTGCTCCGTCCCGCTGGCGACCGTGCCCCGTCCCGCTGCCGACCGTGCCCCGTCCCGCTGCCGGTCGTGCCCCGTCCCGCTGGTGACCGTGCCCCGTCCCGCTGCCGGCCGTGCCCCGTCCCGCTAGTGACCGTGCCCCGTCCCGCTGGTGACCGTGCCCCGTCCCGCTGCCGACCGTGCCCCGTCCCGCTGGTGACCGTGCCCTGCCCCGCTGCCGACCGTGCCCCGTCCCGCTGCCGACCGTGCCCCGTCCCGCTGCCGACCGTGCCCCGTCCCGCTGCCGGTCGTGCCCCGTCCCGCTGGTGACCGTGGCCCGTCCCGCTGCCGACCGTGCCCCGTCCCGCTGCCGGTCGTGCCCCGTCCCGCTGGTGACCGTGGCCCGTCCCGCTGCCGACCGTGCCCCGTCCCGCTGGTGACCGTGCCCCGTCCCGCTGGTGACCTTGCTCCGTCCCGCTGGCGACCGTGCCCCGTCCCGCTGCCGGTCGTGCCCCGTCCCGCTGCCGACCGTGCCCCGTCCCGCTGCCGACCGTGCCCCGTCCCGCTGCCGGTCGTGCCCCGTCCCGCTGGTGACCGTGGCCCGTCCCGCTGCCGACCGTGCCCCGTCCCGCTGCCGGTCGTGCCCCGTCCCGCTGGTGACCGTGCCCCGTCCCGCTGCCGACCGTGCCCCGTCCCGCTGCCGGCCGTGCTCCGTCCCGCTGGTGACCGTGCCCCGTCCCGCTACCGACCGTACCCCGTCCCGCTACCGACCGTGCCCCGTCCCGCTGGTGACCCGTGTCCCGTCCCGCTGCCCACAGCGTCGTCGTTGGGCGCGCTCTCCGGCGGCCGTGTGGGCATCACGTTCATGTGTCAGGTGAACCAGCGGCGGGCGCTGACGATCGCGCTGCGCTACTGCGTCGCGCGCCGCCAGTTCGGCGATGGCGACACGGAGACGCCCGTCATCGAGTACCCGCTGGTGGTGAGGCCAGCTGGGTGCCTGCTGGGGAGGCAGACGGCCTACGCTGCCGGCTCCCCCAGATGGGCTCTTCGGGCGAGATGTTCTTTGCGGTTTGTTTGGGTTCGAAAGGGACGGGAGATTCCCGTTTTCCATCGGTCAGGGATGGTTATGAATGGTATGACTGGCGCACTTGTGTTGATGTCGTGCTCATTGTCAAATGAAAGTGATGTCTCCTGGGGTATAATGTTAATGTTTTTTATTGCACAATGTATCTATCACACGTACACGGACATACAAGGCTGAAAATTCTTACCGGTGCGAGCCAACGGCTCGCAGGCCAATGTTTGGGATTCAGTTCAAGGCTAGGTGGCGCAGCTGTTCAGATGCATTGGAAACAACATTGCGTTCTGTATCTCTTCTTTGTTAACCTATGTTCACACATCAGTATTCACTACCCATGGGTCATGCGGTTTTTCAGCTTACTATTTGGCCAGGTGCTTGTTCCACCAGATGGCCGTTTTTCAGCAATGGCGACTCTTCCCGTTCTTGGGTGCGGCCTTCGTGTGGTATCATCTCTCGCTGTATCTGAACGACGTGTACACCGACTTCGTTAGGCGGAAGTACTCTGGAGACAATGCAGCAGAGATGGTAACGTCCTCGCGCATTAGGACGCGTTTATTGCCATGCGGCAGTCCCTGGATGGTTACATATATCATAAGGCATACGAGTTAAGCAGTGACTATATGACTGTTCTTACATGTCAGTTCTTTTGACAACACTGCCTGTTTTTGTGTTTTGCGCCGCAAACTCGTGTTCCACCAGAGGAGGACGTTCATAGCCAGTTACGTGCTGTGACCAGGCGTGCCTGTGATCGGTTCTGCGAGCTGTGACTGACTGGTGAGAAGCTGCCGCGTGCTCTGGGCATGCGTGTCTGTGATCGGTTCTGCGAGCTGTGACTGACTGCGGTGAGGAGCCGCCGCCCGTCACGCCGCTCCGTTGGTCCGCCGCCAGGCGCTGCTGGGAGCCGAGATGCACGCCCTGTCGTCGGGCACTAAGCCGGTGTCGGGCTGGCTGGCTCGTGACTGTGTCCAGGAGTGCCGGGAGGCGTGTGGCGGCCACGGCTACCTCTCAGGTCAATCCCTAGCCGAGGCTGTCTGTGCGCGCCTGCGCTCTGGTGGGGTGCAGCCGGCGCCACAGACACAGCTGCACTGGCCCGGGGTGGGGTGCTGTGGTGTCCGTCTCGGCGGAGATGGCCGACTCGTCCGGCTGATGACCCGGTGCTAGCTGTGTGTCCGGTTTCCGTGCCCTGATCGACCTGAGCAGTCTACCGTTGGCGAGGCTGCGTTACCCTGACTTGGATGTGCTCGTAAATCCCCTAATCTGCATCGGCCTTGTGGGACGCGAATGGTAGTTATAAAACGTGTCGCAAACTAATCAAAAGATCTGATCTGTAAAGACATTCTAAAAGTCACCGGGGGGGGGGGGGGGGGGGGTTCTGTTTGGATATTGCAGGCCAGCTGACTAGAGAACGCAGGTTGTGCAATACCTGCTGGATTTCCGCATGTGTGCAGCTTGCCTCGCCGGAGCTCTTACCCAGTCGGCAGAAGCTTCCATATGCTACTACCGTTAGTTGCAATGTAAGATGCTGCCAGGTGCCACCGCTCACCACTACCCACTACTGGCGCTGCTACTGTCATTCTCCCTTCGCCGACCGCCTTACCTCCCCAATCCCACTGGAGCACTATCACAGCGTACCGGCTGCCGACAGCTGGCCGCCTGGGCGAAATCCGCGCCGACCAAGACGCCAGCCTAACGTACGAGGGCGACAACAACGTGCTGCTGCAGCAGCTGAGCAACTTCCTGGTGCGCGTGGCCCGCCTACCGCTCGCCGAGTCACCGCTGCACTCTGTCGACTTTCTGAAGCGGGAGGGCGCCGCTGCCGCCTGCCCGCCCCGCCCCAACATGACCTCCCTGCAGTGTAAGAAGCCGTCACGCCCCGGTGCTCGGTTGTGGGCGTGTGGAATCGTCCAGATGTGGGGAGTGTAGTCGTGACGTACGTGTTTCTCAGGTGGGAGAGGCTCGTGCCTTCATGCGAGAAGCCCATATTCGATGTTTGGCTGAAACCGTGGCCCCTCCAGGCACGCGCAGCCGCTGTGAGCGCTGGCGGATTGGCGGATTGCATGAGGCCGTGCCTGGCCATTACCCCCATCAGACGAACCCTGGCGGTGACTGGCCCGTGAGGCGGGGTACTCCAACCCCCCCCCTCCCCTCACTCCCTCGTGAGCCGTGGCGGTGACTGGCCCGTGAGGCGGGGTACTCCAACCCCCCCCCCTCACTCCCTCGAGAGCCGTGGCGGTGACTGGCCCGTGAGGCGGGGTACTCCAACCCCCCCCCCTCCCCTCACTCCCTCGTGAGCCGTGGCGGTGACTGGCCCGTGAGGCGGGGTACTCCAACCCCCCCCCCCCTCACTCCCTCGAGAGCCGTGGCGGTGACTGGCCCGTGAGGCGGGGTACTCCAACCCCCCCCCCCCTCCCCCTCACTCCCTCGTGAGCCGTGGCGGTGACTGGCCCGTGAGGCGGGGTACTCCAACCCCCCCCCCCTCACTCCCTCGTGAGCCGTGGCGGTGACTGGCCCGTGAGGCGGGGTACTCCAACCCCCCCCCCCTCACTCCCTCGTGAGCCGTGGCGGTGACTGGCACGTGAGGCGGGGTACTCCAACCCCCCCCCCCTCACTCCCTCGTGAGCCGTGGCGGTGACTGGCACGTGAGGCGGGGTACTCCAACCCCCCCCCCCCTCCCCCTCACTCCCTCGTGAGCCGTGGCGGTGACTGGCACGTGAGGCGGGGTACTCCAACCCCCCCCCCCTCACTCCCTCGTGAGCCGTGGCGGTGACTGGCACGTGAGGCGGGGTACTCCAACCCCCCCCCCCCTCACTCCCTCGTGAGCCGTGGCGGTGACTGGCCCGTGAGGCGGGGTACTCCAACCCCCTCCCCCCTCACTCCCTCGTGAGCCGTGGGGGAATCGTGCGCCTGCGGACCGGAGAGGTCATGTGTGCTACGCCCGAGCCGCCGTGTGCCGCTCGTGAGGCTCACGGCCGACTGCCGCGGGTACGCTCGTGAGGCTCACGGCCGACTGCCGCGGGTACGCTCGTGAGGCTCACGGCCGACTGCCGCGGGTACGCTCGTGAGGCTCACGGCCGCCTGCCGCGGGTACGCTCGTGAGGCTCACGGCCGCCTGCCGCGGGTACGCTCGTGAAGCTCACGGCCGACTGCCGCGGGTACGCCGGCAGTCGTGACGGGCGCGCTGGAGTGGGTGGTGCGCCACCTGCTGGCGGCCGTGCAGCAGCGGCTGCGGCGGCGCGGCGGCGCGGAGCGGCTGGCGCGACACCACGTCCAGGTGCACGGCGCCCGGCCGCTGGCCACCGCCTTCATCGAGGTCAGTATGGCAGCGCTGTGACCCCGGCGGGTGGCTGAGACGGGGTCGTCCGCCGTTGTGTCGGATGGGCCACGGCCACAGTGTGCTGCCTGTGTCGGAACATCGATAACGATAACGAACGCATTAAAGCGGGTCTAATGGTGATTGGGCCCCACTGATAGCCCGGTGTGCACCACTTTTAACCTGGGCACCAAATGTATTGTGTTAGAGTGAGGCATGTGGTGCCGATGAGCTTACAGGGAATGTACAGAGAAAAAACAGAGAACTTACAGAACAATGACATGCCCATGCCATTATTTATGAGATCAACACTGATAGTAATGCTAGCTAATCATCACAAGTTAAATGAACTTGCAGCTTATCAGGAAATATGTAGGAAAAATAGTAAGGTAAGAAAAAATGACATGTTATCGTAGGTGGAATGTCATATGTGTTGACATCTGTCCTTGGATGCTATACTTTGCATTTAGCGAAATTGGCTCATTCGACATCCATTTTGATTTGTGTCTGCGAAAAGCTTGGCCTGGTATTGACATCGACCATGGATTGTTTGGTGCCACGGACTGACAGTGGTCGTTCCACTTGGGTTACGCGGCGGTCGTCTGTGCCGTTTACGGCTCTGGACAGGTGCTCTGAACACGCCACTCGTTAGCCGGCGCCACCTTGTGGTCAGCTTGCACCGGCGTAAGCCATAATCCCCGTGAGATTACGGCCGCCGCTCACGCAGTTTGCCAGTCATTGCTGACACCGTACTCATGCATGCAACAAGGGTTGGACACGAGCCGAATTTCATGGGCGCACTGGCATTGGTTACTCATTCGGTCACACCAAAACAATGCTGAACCCACGGCACTGCACCTCACGTTGGTAGTAAGTGAGGTAGCATTTGGACTACGCCGGAGGTGACTCGTCCAGCCCGCGCCGGTGACGTCACGTTACCCGGCGCCTCAGCTGTTCAGCCCTTGCCGGTGACGTCACGTTACCCGGCGCCTCAGCTGTTCGGCCCGCGTCGGTGACGTCACGTTACCCGGCGCCTCAGCTGTTCAGCCCTTGCCGGTGACGTCACGTTACCCGGCGCCTCAGCTGTTCAGCCCACGCCGGTGACGTCACGTTACCCGGCGCCTCAGCTGTTCAGCCCGCGTTGGTGACGTCACGTTACCGGGCGCCTCAGCTGTTCAGCCCACGCCGGTGACGTCACGTTACCCGGCGCCTCAGCTGTTCAGCCCACGCCGGTGACGTCACGTTACCCGGCGCCTCAGCTGTTCGGCCCTTGCCGGTGACGTCACTTTACCCGGCGCCTCAGCTGTTCGGCCCGCATCGGTGACGTCACGTTACCCGGCGCCTCAGCTGTTCAGCCCTTGCCGGTGACGTCACGTTACCCGGCGCCTCAGCTGTTCAGTCCTTGCCGGTGACGTCACGTTACCGGGCGCCTCAGCTGTTCGCGCTGCGCCGGTTCGCCGAGAAGATCGCCTCCTCGTGGGACGAGGACACTCGGCGCGTGCTGACTCAGCTGGCCGTGCTGTACGGCCTGTGGTCTCTCGAGAGGAACTACGTGACCTACCTGGCCGCAGGTGGGTCATGTGTGTGACGCTTAGTGCGGCGGGTTGGTGAACTCACAGTCAGTAGGGTGACAAAAACTGCAAACGTTGATGTGAAATGTTAAACGTTATATGTGACAAATGAAAAACCAGATAAGTACTGTTACAAACGTTCGTTACTGTCAAGGACGGCCCTGGCAGCGTCTTTTTATTCTTGTGCGACATGTTTGGTTCGGTTCTTTTTCTGTGCGAAACGCGAATATATCTGTATGATTTTTACACACTATTCTTCTTAAGTATCAAGCACACGTCTGGTACTGCACGGTCCACCACCAGTCGGCGAGTGGCCCCGACGTTGGCTGCCGTCGGTTGCAGGCTCGTACCTGAGCGGGCCCCAGTTCAGCCAGCTGCAGGAGGCCATCCGGGACCTGTGCACTGCGCTCAAGCCGGAGGTCATGACCCTGGTGGATGTCATCGCGCCCCACGACTTCCTGCTCGACTCATGTCTCGGACACTCGGACGGACAGGTGGGCAGCGGGGAGGACACTGACAGACAGGTCAGCGGCAGAGTGGACACTGACAGACAGGTCAGCGGCAGAGTGGACACCGATAGACAGATCAGCGGCAGAGTGGACACTGACAGACAGATCAGCGGCAGAGTGGACACTAACAGACAGGTCAGTGGCAGAGTGGACACTGACAGACAGGTTGGCGGCAGAGTGGACACTGACACACAGGTCGGCGGCAGAGTGGACACTGACAGACAGGTCAGCGGCAGAGTGGACACTGACAGGCAGGTCAGCGGCAGAGTGAACACTCGGACGGATAGACCAGCAGACAGTGATTGTGTGAACGCTGGGATGGAAAAGGCAACAAAAGGATGAGTGCATGACCTAGGCGATCGCATGGATAAGCATCAGAAGGCTCGTTGCGCTCGTTCCTAGGTCACCCAGGCGACTTGGTGGGGAGAGGGCTCATGTCTCGAGCACTCAGGCGACTTGGTGGGGAGAGGGGTAGACCCGTGTCTCGAGCACTCAGGCGACTTGGTGGGGAGAGGGGTGGACTCGTGTCTCGAGCACTCAGGCGACTTGGTGGGGAGAGGGGTGGACTCGTGTCTCGAGCACTCGGGCGATTTGGTGGGGAGAGGGGTGGACTCGTGTCTCGAGCACTTTGTCATGCCAGCAGAGGAAGAGCAATAAACACATGGACAGCTGAGCAGAGCCGGGCATGCGTTACCCATCCCGTTCAGATTCCCCTCCTGTGGTAACGTACACAGCGTCACCCATTTGACCTCTAACGCGCAATCCCACCGTTCCAGATATACGAGCGCATCTTCCAGTCATTCCTCTCAACGCCGGGCTGCACCGAGCGGCCCGACTGGTGGCAGCTGAGCTCACAGATTACCAGCCAGCTATGAGCGGCGGCGGCGTCGGAGGGCGGGGGGGGGGGGGAGGTTCGAGACGGCTAAACCGACCGGTAGTACCGCGGGCACCATCCGGCGGGGCTGGCCGGCCGCGGCTCAACAGGTGGGGGGCTGTTGGGCGGCTCTGTTTATGTGTATGGTGGATAGACTCGGCCTTGCGGTATGGCGGACGGGGCCCATAGTCCGGACTGCAGTGGGGTATGGCGGACGGGGCCCATAGTCCGGACTGCAGTGGGGTATGGCGGACGGGGCCCATAGTCCGGACTGCAGTGGGGCATGGCGGACGGGGCCCTTAGTCCGGACCTCAGCGGGGTATGGCGGACGGGGCCCCATGGTCCGGACTGCAGCGCGATGGTAACATATTATGATGGGGCTTCTAGAGCTGTAGTGTAAGGATCCTTAATGCTGTCATCACCATGTGCAAGTACTACACCAATACTGCCAAGTGCAATAATGAACTGCTGAAGAAGGATAAGTGCTGCTGTTTTGTAGCTTGTTGCTGACATTGTCACGTTGACGTAAACTCAGATGATTTTTGAATAATGCTGCCCCCTACAAAGCATGTTTCTTCTGGTCCATGATTAGTTGATCCGTTTTGCGGCACTCTGGGATGTCTGTGCGTGAGTGCTTATGGTTGGCTTCTATGTTTGCGATGCCGTGCGCGGAATGCGTTGAAGATTGTCGGCTGCGACATCATTGCCTTCATCGTTTTTATCCACAACAGTACTTGCAAAGGGCTTCTTGTTGGCTTGTGTTGCGTGCTTCTCGTCTACGTTGGAAGGTCGAATGCTGTCGAGTGGGCTGAGATGAATAGCACTCACTTGGGCCGATGCGACAGCGTACCAACGTTCGTGCTTCGTGCACTAGAAAAAATGTATATGACTGAGAACGGATCTTCCGCAATTAACCTGAAGAAGACATTGCAATTCGCGCGATATTGCAGTCTCAACTCTTGTGCTTGCCCGAATCCCGATTGACGTAAAGCAATCTCACATGAAACGATTGCGCACTCGCCGGGCATTACGTTACGAGGAATATTGTTATATCCGGTTGTCTGCACCTGCTGCGCTAGACCGATGACCTTATCTCTATCAAGCCAGTAATGTGTGTAGAAGTAGCTGAGCCTCGGCGCTGACTCGGCTTCCACTGACGTTCAGTTCTCACGTTCGCTCGTGTGTGGACTGGCGGCCATGGCGTGACAGTGGGCGCCATGCGAGGCACGCAGGCACGCAACTTTGCCATTCATTTCACTTCAGGTCGCCCCCTTCAAACGTCAGCTGACTTTTGTGCAAGTTCTCCCGGGTAGGGGCTGAAAGAACTGCGCTTCCATTTCCACCGGCAGTGAAGCAAAGACAAGCTGAGCGCTGTTATAAACGTAGAGCTGGTGGAGTTTGAGCCAGGTGCGGTACCGATGCGTGCAGTTTTACTATGCACCATCCATGCCCGAATCTATGTAAATAGCACATCCTCCAGCCGTGCACAAGTTTGCAGTCATCGCAAACGACACATCCGACTCAATGGAAAAAATCCTATCTCCTTTTCTTCGGATGAGGCATCGCGTAGTACCTCGTGTCTTAACTCAGGGCTGCTACTGTTTTTTGTTGCATGTTTAGTGTACCGCCAATGCTTATGCAGCGTCTTGCGAAGAAGTGCACTTATCCGCCGTTCAATCTTCGTATAGTTCCAGATAATAAACGTGTACTCGTTGCTCAAGACGAGATGACCAGCGAAATGGCCAAGTGGTAGCAATGGGCATGTGCAGAAAGGCCGCCGTGCTTAGCGCCGACACCACGTGATATAGCGTAGATATAAACCCTGACGTCTTTATGGACCGGTCACATTCCCACACTGGCCACCCGAGACTCAGTCTGACCAGTGGACCGGTCACATTCCCACACTGGCCACCCGAGACTCAGTCTGACCAGTGGACCGGTCACATCCCCACACTGGCCACCTGAGACTCAGTCTGACCAGTGGACCGGTCACATTCCCACACTGGCCACCTGAGACTCAGTCTGACCAGTGGACCGGTCACATCCCCACACTGGCCACCTGAGACTCAGTCTGACCAGTGGACCGGTCACATTCCCACACTGGCCACCCGAGACTCAGTCTGACCAGTGGACCGGTCACATCCCCACACTGGCCACCCGAGACTCAGTCTGACCAGTGGACCGGTCACATCCCCACACTGGCCACCTGAGACTCAGTCTGACCAGTGGACCGGTCACATTCCCACACTGGCCACCTGAGACTCAGTCTGACCAGTGGACCGGTCACATTCCTACACTGGCCACCCGAGACTCAGTCTGACCAGTGGACCGGTCACATCCCCACACTGGCCACCTGAGACTCAAGTCTCTCCACGATAGGGCGTTGTGGTCGTTTGGTTTGCCCGGCTCCGTCGCGCCCGGTTTCAAATGAGCTGCTCTGACCAACCACCGCACGAGCGTCGGCGCGATGAACCTCGAGGCGCCGCCTTCCCAATTGGGACGGTCACGAACTCCAGGGATCAGGTGAGCCGGGCTCGCAGGTCACGGCCGCTGCGGGCGAGAAGCTGCCCAGCCGAGTATGGTTCGCAGTAAAGCTGTTATGTGGGTAGTAGCACGGCGGTTCACAACCAGCGCACCGACTGACCAAGTGGAATGTGAGATTTACAAGCGCTCTGTTTCCAGCTGGCTGATGGTGGCAGTTTCCGCGCCCTTGCTATGGCACCGCTGTGGCGGCTGTATGGTAATCACCGCGGGCCACGTTTTTTCCGTGCCGCCTCCGCCGTGTTGGGATACCGCAGCACGCTGGGGACTGCGCGCTACGCGGACTTGACGCACCCCACCGCCCTCGGGGCTGCGCCGACGTGATCACACCTCACCGCCCTCGGAGGAGCCGCGCCGACGTGATCACACCTCACCGTCCTCGGAGCTGCGCCGACGTGGTCGCACCTCACCGCCCACGGAGGAGCCGTGCCGACGTGATCGCACCTCACCGCCCTTGGAGCTGCGCCGACGTGATCGCACCTCACCGCTCTCGGAGGAGCCGCGCCGACGTGATCACACCTCACCGCCCTCGGAGCTGTGCCGACGTGATCACACCTCACCGCCCTCGGAGCTGTGCCGACGTGATCGCACCTCACCGCTCTCGGAGGAGCCGCGCCGACGTGATCACACCTCACCGCCCTCGGAGGAGCCGCGCTGACGTGATCGCACCTCACCGCCCTTGGAGCTGCGCCGACGTGATAGCACCTCACCGCCCTCGGAGGAGCCGCGCTGACGTGATCGCACCTCACCGCCCTTGGAGCTGCGCCGACGTGATAGCACCTCACCGCCCTCGGAGGAGCCACGCCGATGTGATCACACCCCACCGCCCTCGGAGGAGCCGCGCCGACGTGATCGCACCTCACCGCCCTTGGAGCTGCGCCGACGTGGTCGCACCTCACCGCCCACGGAGGAGCCGTGCCGACGTGATCGCACCTCACCGCTCTTGGAGCTGCGCCGACGTGATCGCACCTCACCGCCATCGGAGGAGCCGCGCCGATGTGATCACACCCCACCGCCCTCGGAGGAGCCGCGCCGACGTGATCACGCCTCAACGCCCTCGGAGCTACACCTCACCGGCCTCGGAGGCGTTCGTTTGCCTTAGTGTTCAGGACTTAACCACCCACTGCACCTAATCGCAGTAAGCCGTCTGCTCCGGTGGCAGCGTGGCCAGGTCACTGTTCGCTCCGCCTGTCGTGGCGCGGTCTTTCCAGTGCGTGCTGCGGAAATATTCGCCTTTACCCGGCAATGACGCACGAAGTGTTGCATCGGGTGTCAGGAAAACGCATTCCACCAACCGTTTCAGCTTTTCGAACCGATCAGATTGCTGACATGGCTGGCTTAGCCTGGTTGGTGGTATGGCATACATATTTGTCTTCCTATTCCCGTCTTACATTCCTTCGCCCACGTTCTGTGAATTATAATTATAATGGTGTGCAATGTACTTCCGCCATCCACCAGAAATTGATCATGAATGAACTGGAACTAAACTTGCGTTTCTGGTTCGGTTCCATCGGTCTTGTAACAGAGGACTATATGCCAATCAAGCCATGGTGTTGAGAAGTAGCAAGACCAGGACCACGCATTTCGCGATAAAAACATGCACTGACTAAGCTAACGCCGCAGACTAATGTAAAAGCATCCATCCACCTCAACGCTCCAAACGACCAATGTCATCTATTCCGCCTTTGCCGAACCTTGTTCTTTCACAGCGTTGGTCCTTAAGTACCATCAAACCTATGGATGACATACTGGACCCATATGTTCAGCATCCAAATGGCAGTCCTTTGGATGCATTGCCGTCACCACTGTCGGGACCCGACCTCGCGCCGTTGGTGCCCTCCGTCAGCGGACCTCAGTGATACTGCTCGGCGGTCAGGCGGCGAGCACGCGACGCGAGTCAACATCCGGCGTCGGTGCCTCGCTCCGGGGTCACAGGGCAGACGGTCCTGTGCCGGTCCGCCCGCGAAGCGCGGCGTCACCGTGACTTCGGCCGGCCGTCTGCGCGAGTCGTCCTTGGCAGCGCCCAGCGCCGGCGCCTGCCGGTCATCCCATCACCGAGCTGGCCTGTGGTCGGGAGACAGTGGAGAGATACCGGCCGTTCATCACACCACCGAGCCGGCCTGCGGTCGGGAGACAGTGGAGAGATACTGGCCGTTCATCCCATCACCGAGCTGGCCTGTGGTCGGGAGACAGTGGAGAGATACCGGCCGTTCATCACACCACCGAGCCGGCCTGCGGTCGGGAGACAGTGGAGAGATACTGGCCGTTCATCACATCACCGAGCTGGCCTGTGGCCGGGAGACAGTGGAGAGATACTGGCCGTTCATCACATTACCGAGCTGGCCTGTGGCCGGGAGACAGTGGAGAGATACTGGCCGTTCATCACATCGCCGAGCTGGCCTGTGGTCGGGAGACAATGGAGAGATACTGGCCGTTCATCCCATCGCCGAGCTGGCCTGTGGTCGGGAGACAATGGAGAGATACTGGCCGTTCATCACATCACCGAACTGACCACAGGCCAGTTCGGTGATGAAGTCACATTCTCGGCCGTCCCCGCTCAGGAGACGATTGGGAGTGTGACGGACGCAGACTCGTCACCTGCTGTCAGTCGCTTGCAGGCGCAACTGACGGTAAATCGCCGCTTGACACGGCGTGCGTCCGGATCTGCTGGTAGCAGGCGTCCCCGGTGGGAACACCACGTGAAGCGGACGCGCGGCGCCGGCTGAGACCAGGCGCCGTCCAGCCTCACCGGCGCCGGGCACACTATGACGCTCGGGCTCTGCTCTGTCAGCGAGACCAGAACGAGCTTACGTCCCCACTGTGCCATACTGCGTAGAGTCCGCTTGTGAGGAACGACTATACAGCATATTTGAAATCAGTGGGGCATTTTGAATCGGAAGCGTTGGAGTCAGAGCGCGTTCCCACCAGACCCGCTGTGCGAGCGATTTTCGACTGCAGGCTCCGTTTGACGTAGGCAATGGGAAGGTCCACACAAGGGGATGAGGTATGCGCTGCACAGAAACGAAAGGTACAGAAAGTCCTGAATTTCGCGGCGAGATTTATATCGGGGTTGGAACTATATAATCATGGCTCTGTCGCACTGACAACTCTGCTGACCATCTACGGAGAAAATGATCACAGATGCTGACGTGGCACTTGTTAATAAGCTTACCACTGGGATGCGAACGTTCTATTTTAAGAGGCCTGCTCATGAACACTCAAGAACGGAGCTGCATGCCGTCCATTCAACCATAGAGCTCTGTGCACCTGCTCTCAATACGTCACCTGGAGCATCCCGCCGTAGACCATCAGTGTCTCTCGCACCCGCAGGAAGCTTCGCGCCATACGGTATGATGTACCTGCCGTTGTGTGAAATGTTTTGACGATAGACGATTATGTTTTTGACACATTGTATGAACGACAGAATAATTGAAGATGTACGAATGTTGTCTTTTTCTGTCGCACTTGTACTGAATCAAACAGTGAGTCACCTATTGGGATGATTCGCCGATAAAACGAGCGAATTTGAATATATTTTTTTGTCGCGGGGCGCTCCTCGTTGCCCGGGGGTCAATGGGCCGCGCTCGCCGCTGCGGCCCTGTCTCTGTGTTTGAGGACCACTCGTTAGCGTGACTCGCCAGTGTGGCGGAGTGGACATACACAGACCGGGCCGGCGCCCCGTCCCGCCCCGCCGCGTCATCTCCCAGCCGCCGGCCGCCCGCCGCCAGCTGACGCGCGCTCGGCCGCCGTGCGTTTTCAATAGAAGAGGCGTCCCCAGCTGACAACCCTGCTGGCCAGTCATGCCCTCGGCCCAAAATGACCTCGGCCGCCCACGTGTCCCAAGGGATTCCTGGGCGGTAGTCGGCACCTCCTATCTTCCTGAGTCCTCCTCAGGTGCGGCAGATGAGGTCTGTGGCTTATCAGTCATTTGAAGTAATGATCTTATGTTGGTGACTTGGCTCACGTGTCTTCTTTGTTTACGCTTAGAATGCCGGCATGGTGGCCAATGGCGGGTTCGGAGTGGATTTGGTGAATGTAAACATGCAATGAGTTTGCGGACAGAACGATGCCAGTCGGTTACGATATTGCCAGCTTTGCGTACCCGTACGTGCGCCTGTGACAAGGCCGACTTCAGTTTGCACGGTACTTAAAAATGAAGCGTGTGTCATGAAGCACATT